TTCACATGCTCTAAGTTCCAGAAAATTTAACCTTGCTAACCAGAAAATGAAATGAGAAACTGCAAATTTAATGCAGCTTGTTTTCTTCACTGACCAGTGTGAATGTTATTGACGGGCACGCTCAATCTGGTTAGCTTGGAGAAGATACAAGCATTTAATACTCACAAGTTTGAATATCTTAAACTGCCTAGAACAATTTTATTTTTCTTTTAAGAAAGGAAGATTGGCGTTGCTGGTACAAAATTTGTGCTTTATATAAATTTTCTACTGTAAGCCATAACCAAACATTATTCGATAACGGTTAGCTGAAAGAAAGACGAGCGAAGACACTGAAAAATTTAAATTAATCATTTAAAACAAGCCTTTGTCGAAAGAGTCTTTCCTACCTTTGAAGAGCTCCAATTTGATTAGATGAAGAAGATTGAAAAACGAGCGGACCGTCAGTCAAAGGCCGCTTTCACAATTTTAATGCCTTTTAGCAACTACCACTAGTTATATTCTCATTTATCTGGTATATGTCCGGTTCCTGTTTGCAAAGCCGGACATAGAGTACATAGTAAATTGAAACAAAATCACTGTACAACTTCCGTTAATTGGGTGATATTGGTCTTGCCATTATATTCATAACGGGATTTTTTTTGACGAAAAACTTCCTTATCATCGTGACGATGCATTGCTCATCTACACGTCCTAAATGTTAGCTATATCAGCTTTGCGTAAAGTAAAATCCCAGCTCCAGCTTCCTGTTAGTACAGTGAACCTGTTCCCCTTTGTGAAACTACTTACACCGGTGCCGTCGTTTTCATACAATCGTCAAACAAAAAAAGATCGATTGGTGTCTGATCTCCTTACTTTAAAGGTCCAAAAGAAGAATAAAAATAAGATAAATCATCTTAAAATTAAGAGGTCTGAAACTGATCGTGAGATTTTTAAATTGTAATCTAACTTATTTTTGATTTATTAATTGTAATGATTTTCATAATTGGTATAATTCTAATTCTTTAATATCATTTAATTAAAATTGGTCAAGGGAAAGTTTCTGTGAGAAAAGTAAATAAATATTTTATCATTGATTATTATTATTATTGAAATTTATTAAGATTCAGAAACCAGCTTTGACGTTCTTTCGTGTTTTAGTAGTATTATTCTAGAAGAAGTGACTTACGATTTACATGTAAGGCGTAAAGAATATTTCAAAAGGCTGGAGCATTTAAAAGGTGATGTAGAATTTAGACAGATACTGGAATATCGAAAAAAAATATTTTAAGCAAATTTCCTATTACTCTAGGATAGCATTAAGCTTTTTTATTCCGCTTGTATATTTATTTATTTTTATTAGCTATTCAACACAAACACCTAAATCTTCCAGAAGCTTCTGATTGCCAATAAAACAAACTGCTGTTCTAAATACAAAGACTGTCAAACAGCTCGTGGCTTCATTAAATGCGAAAAACTGAAACCTTCGTTGTTGTTCTATTGTGTTCATTTAAACTCATGATAGCGCCGGATTTGTCAGGCATATCACGAAATAGCTTCCTTATCGGATCCACTTCACAGTCACCGTAAGATAAACTGTGCCCACAGCTTCCTGTGACGCAGTTTGTGAGCCTGTTTAAGAACGTTTTAACAATCCGTTTCAGTTTTGAGACGTGAGAAGGGTATCTTTATAATGTAATTTAAAATTCAGTCTCTCTCATTGCCATTCTACCAGTCGGCTAACGCTAAATAAAACTTAGAATGACATAGAAATCGAAGGAATCCCTGTGGGCACAGCTTCCAGGCCCAGGAGTACGTGTGCAAAGTCAGTCCCCCGGTCACCGAATCTACAATATAGAGCATGGATCATTCTTTCATGCTCTTCACATGTTTTTTTTTTTTTGTATGTATGTATTAGCATATCCTTTGAAGGCCTAAAATTAATGTAAAAAACTATCCTAAATAAAATAAGTCCAAAATGTAATAACATTTTGTCCTAAATGTACCGTAATTACTCAAATAAGCGCCAAAAGTCTTTACACACATACTGTGCCCATTTTTTCGCTTAAGCTGACATTTTAAGCAAGAAAAACCCTTTTTTGGAAGCATCTTTACAAGAACTGATTACACGTACATTAAGCTTCGTGTACAAGACTTCGCGACTGGTAAGAATTTCTCTTTAAATCAGTTATCTAAACAAAGAGTATTTCTTTTTTGTCGGGAAAGTTATTTTATTAAAGCAATAGAAAACTTTTCTCCGGTGTTTGTATAGCCTGATATAAACACTCGAGGGGCTGGGAGAATTCTTGACAGTTACGCAAACCCTCGACTTCGTCTCGGGTTTGCATAATTCTCCCAACCCCTCGAGTGTTTAAATCATGCTATGCAAACACGGGAAAAAAGTTTTCTAGTTGCTTAAATATTGCTTTTTTAGAAAAATACTGTTACTTTGTCGTTTACAAGCAATTTATTTCTAAACGTTAAGTTTCACAGTGCATAAGGAAATGTACCGAATTTACGCGAA